ACTTTGCGTATGGGTGTGGGACCGCCGCGAGCGACAGCGCCCTCGGTGCTACGAACAGTGACACGTGGCATCTGATCTCTAGAGGACCGGATGGCAACCATCAAAGACACGTCGTCCTCCACACAAGTGCTTCACACTTAGGTATGGTTCTATATACTCTTACCACCTTGTGTCTGCCTAACGCACAAAAGACCTATCGTCTCCCTCCCGCCTCGAACCCTTCCACTACTACTAACACTCACATAGAACCCCCTAACGGTAGCCAGAGGTTGTCCCTCTGATGAGCTACTATGGGTGCTAAGCAGCGAAAAGCGCGCTTCAGGGCGTGCAACCCTCCCCCTATGGCTGTCTTCAACAAATATCTCTAACATCAGCCCAACTTCTAATCTGCTCCCCACCATCAAAATTCTTCTTTTCTCAACCCATGTTGTGTTATGTCTGTTGCTAACTTGGCGCTATTTTACGATTGGACAGATGCATGGTCTGGTTTCTCATTGTATATGGGGAAACCGTGTTCTACACACCCACTACACACACTCTCGGATATTATATTATGTTGCTAAGTTGGGGTCGATTCCCCTGCTGACACACCACTTATCTGATCCGAAGTAATCTTTTGCGATCCTTACCCATGTGCAAGACAACATACTAACAGTACCTCGCCCCCACCCCCTGCCCCATCCCCTGCCCGCTTCCCCCTCCCCCACCGTTTTACCCCGCATATACACAACACGAACGACTCCGCTCTGATACATACAAATTACTACATATAAGTTCATACTATTGCTACATATAATTCGAGAATTGAAAACCATGATATACTCATTTATCCCGCATACTTGCTTCAATAGCCGCATCTCTGCCTGGACACATAATCGCTAATCGACCTTAATATATTCACCTACAAAATCTCCTTGTAAATATGCTACTAGCAGTATATATCCATAGCACTCTGCAGATTCACACACGATCGAATTATAACATCTTGGGCGATAATCACCCGTCCTGTATGCTCTGGCTTTCTTATGATGACGACCGATTTTCTAAATATGCCACTCAGTTTACCTTTGCAATCCAAATTCGAATGGTTACACTTATGTCCTCCATCTGTAAGAGATCCTGGATAATCAACCTTGTTAAGAAATGACGCGCCACTACACCTCACGATATGATTTTTTTAGTGTTCACCCCTGCATGTCTTACATGTTAATAATGGCTAATCGCTTGAGTTTGGTCCCCTAGTTTTTTCTTTCATTAAGCCTTTACAATCCCACCTCGGAGCTGCTATACTTATAACCCAAATCCCTGAACACTATGGGATAATTTAGGTAGTACACACCAAAAAACGTGTTGTATATCCCTCATCGGAATATGATCTATACTCCATGTGATATGATAGGATAATTCTCAATTGACTATACACAACCACCCTACTTCTCATCTACTGCATGATGTTACGAACAGTTCCTTTTGTTATTTTTTTATTATTATTTTTGTTATTATTATTTTTTTTGTTATTGTTATAATTACTTAAGACACTAATGCTTTGATTAATGATACTGATACGCATAAAGGCACCAAATCTCCTCAAGAACTAGATTTTGTGCAAATCAGCGTATTGGTCATTACACAACAAGTTGTTAAAGATTTGCGCATAAGATCGTCTGATCCCTTCAATGGTTCTTCATGAAAATGACAGGACGAGATGATCGGTACTATTACGAAGTAAAACACCATAAAAGTGTGTTGCTCGCTATAACCAACAATCTTTGCTATGAGCATACCTAATGATAAGATGATCTCATTCTCGCTTCGATCGCTGTCCAGCTGAATTGCCTGACTTCTTCGAAGGAAACTATAGTGATTGGCTAAGAGTAACAAAGCCTATTCTGACAATTACACCCCGATTATGTTGATATCTGAATGTTGATCCTATATTAGTAAATTTGTAGATAAATTTTATTTTTTACTCTTTACCGGCGAAAATCATGCAACATGGAGAACGTACTCACATATAAGAATTGCCCTCTAACGATGTACACAAGAATTTCAAAACAAAAGAGATAGGTAAGGTATAAGCTCCGTAAATAAAAAACTTTTCTAATTTTCCTACCCGCCTGTGCATATGTTTTTCTTCAAAAACATATAAATAACCCCAAGACTGAAATTTAGGAATTTTTTTTTGCAATCTGACTAATGATTTTGTTGATAGGTCAATTAAGATTTACATAACATTATGTTGTCATCCTATAAGATCTCGAATACAAATTCATGACTCTTTGTTAATACTCGCTCTTTCTAACGCCTTGGTGGTGCTATTTTTTTTTTTAATCTATACTACAACACTGGATTCTGCCTTCCTATCCTATTTTAGCAATTTACTCCGCTAATAAGAAACCATACGTTGTTAACTTCGGTCTAATCTTCTGAGCTCGTTTTCTTATTAGCAGATAGGTTATGACAGAATTGACATCATTTCTCTGTCGTTTCTTTTGACAAGTGTGATTATTCCTGTATGGAATCAGCATCATTTCCCTACTTCTTGGTCGAATATTTTTGAAACAATAATTTTGCTTGCCTACCTAACTTGTGTTGCACTAATAATAGCAAGCTCTTTATACAAATAAGATAATATGAGCGCAAAAACTATTTCCTAGGATCGCCCCTTATGGATGACATGCACACAAAAATGATCAGGCACAATAAGAGTGTTTCGCCGTGTCTGCAATTGATCGAGTCCACGTTTTCGGCAAATCGGTTATCTCAATTGGATATGCCCCCCTTATCTTATTTTTTTTCCCTCCACGCTTGCTGCCACATACGCATTGACCACTTAACACTCTATTATGATAGATTCCCACTCTTCACATGGCGCCATCCTATGAAAAAAACTATAAGATCATGCAAAAATTGTTATTATTATTGTTGATTCACGTATACACTTAGATACGATCTCATAATTGTTTTGAGTCACGAATATATTCTTTCTATAAAACATGTATATATACATCATTATGACAATCGAATCAGAACCCGAACATGCAACAAAAAAAATAAAACGAACTATTTGTGCACTACAACAAAGCGGATTCCAAAGACATAGATTACTTGGCATTGCGTAGAAAATACTCATGCACCCCTACGAACTACCAACCATTCAAAAGTGAACCTTATAAGGTTCTACGGTGGCTTAATAATAACTCTACCCAATGAATAAACTAATAACCTTCTCCCAAGCTTCTTTAACCAAAAAACCTAAACAAAACACAAGCGAAAACATAACAAAATAAAAAACTATTAATTAATCTGCTTGGTTAACAAAGCGACCAATCACGTCTGTGTACGCCAAACATTTGGCTTGGTTCGGATGGAGGACCTATCCCTGCTGGGGTAGGTCCAACATCTTATACTATGGACCTACCCCACTGGGGCCTCCATTACGAGGGAACGGGGAGGGACACACACACACACACACACACACACACATACACGTACACACTCACATAATAAAAGTCAGATTATTCTTATTATTATTCAAATAATAATAAAAAATAATATATATATATATAATAAATAATAAATATTAAATAATAAAAATAAAATAATAATAATGCAAGGAAGATAAGCAATAGAAAACTTCAGAAATCAAACAGCATCATACACACGAGACCAAATAGTCGTGACCTTGAACCAAAAGCAGAATTGCATCACGAGTTTCACCAAATAAGAGCACACCAAAAGCTCCTAATTGACAATGCTAGAATAGTCTCATCATCATCAACGAAGAACCAATGTTGATATCCTATCTGGAGCTCGACGCCCAGACTACAGATGACAGATCCTATCTAGCCTACTCTACAATAACGCCGATGACGTCAACAACTTCACCGAAGTACGAGCAGATCTCGGACAATGTCGGCGCCTCAAGCACCAGGTATGTCTCTCGTACCACTCACAACCTCGTTCCCCAACTCACAGATGCCACTTGCACCCAAGGAGGAACATGCGCCCCATCCAGCATCCAGCAGCGCAGCTCGGCTATGGCTGCCTGCTCCTTCCAGCTCGCCCGTGAGCGCGTGGGCCTGGCAGGCGATAGCGTAGCAGCGCTTGTGCACAAAGCAGCCAGTGCCCGAATGTCCAATGCGTGGGCAGGCCCTTTCCTAAATGGAAGTGGCCTGCCTGCCTTACGAGCAGCCTCGCTGCGCTGGGCCTCTGCCCAGAAGCTTCCGGTAGGCCCAGGGAGGATGAGACTCAGTCCAATCGGATCAGGCCCAGGGCCTGTGACAGTTACCCGCGCCCAACTACTCGTAGCCTATGTCGGGTCCATGCTGTGTATCTCGCCCAGCGCCTGACTCATATGCATTCGATAAAGAAGGCCAGGGTCTGGGCGCCTTCAACCAACTGGCGCTGCGCAACTGCCTGAATTCCCTTAGTTGCGTGTTGACCCCAAAATTGGGCCTGTAGGTCTCGGTCGAGCCTGCCTTCGCTTAGGGCGGCCGACTGTGCTGAAAATAGGGCCCAATAGAGCATATCGGGGCTTCAAGCCTCGCATTCCCTCCTCCATACTTTGATAGTCCTCTGAGAAGTTCAATCTTCGATAATCTGGCGTTTTCCTTATGCAGGGACTTCTCATAATGAGCGACTACATGTGGAGCGGTCTGCATCAATTCCTCTCTTGTGAACCATCTATCCTCCTTTGGATCAAAGTGATGTCTGAACCGAACTCGATACCGCAGCTTCGGTTTCGGAGGACATCCTCTGCCTGTTGGTCTTGGAACTGGCATCTCCCTATGATCAACAATGTCGTCAATGTCGACCTCTCCATCCATGGTTGGGGGCAGCATTGAGCGACAAGAGAGAAACTGATCTGTTTCTTTAAAAGGTGCAAGCTTTGAGGCGTGGAAAAAAGGGTAAGTGTGTAAGTGACCAAGAATGCGAATAACATAAGATGGTCCATCTGGTTCATCCCCAACAACATCTATAATCTCCCACGGTCCAAAGTACTGTGGCATGAGCTTGCAGGAGATCCTGTGCTCCTGTCCCAGTTCTGAGGACTTAACCCAAACTCTTTCTCCTACCTAGAATGTAGATGGGCGACGGTGTTGGTTCTCAGACTCTATCATCGCCGCCTGTGCCTTGTGCATCTGTTCGACAGCCTGTTGCATCAGTTGCTCATATCGATAAGCAAACTCTAAGGTCCCTGGTGCAGCAGATGACTGATTCTCAGGTAGTAGGAAGTCCAAAGGCAGTCTAGGCTTGAAGGTCAGTAGCAAGCTGTTCGGGCTCACTCCCGTAGCGCTGTGCACAACATTGTTGTACAGGCTGGCGATGAGAGCAAGTTTCTCATCCCAGTCTACCTGATTTGGCGTGATGCAATGCCTCAGCAAGTGCTGTACAGCGCGGTTCAACTGATCTGCCTGCCCATTCGCCTCTGGGTGATTGCCTGATGTCATTTGCAGCCGAGTGCCCTGTTCTGCAGCTGCGGCTTTCCACAATTCACTGGTGAATCGCACATCTCGGTCACTAACTATAGACTTAGGCAATCCGAAGTCTCTGACCCAGTTCTCTTTAAACAGCTTGATCACATATTCAGTTTTAGTTGTTGCAGGCATTGCGACTAACCTAGCATACTTGCTAAACCTATCCACAATTACATAGACGTAGCGGATTCCACTCTTGCTAGTGACCAGTGTATCCATGAAGTCCATGAACAGGCTCTCACCAGGCCTTTCCGGAATCGGAAGGGGCTTTAGAAGCCCAAGAGGAGCCTGTGTACATGGCTTGTCCCTTTGATAGACCTGACAAGTTTCCACGTACAGCTTCGCATCTCTCATCATCGTGGGCCACCAGAACCGCTGCAGCAGATTAGCTGTTGTCTTTTTGTAGCCAAAATGGTCGGTGGCGTCATGACACTCTCCTAAAAATAAACTACGCAAAGACTCTCTATCTGGCACACACAGACGTTTATTCCCTACCTTCTCAAGGAACAACAGTCTGTTGACCAACTCAAACTCGGCAGAAGTCACCTTGTCCTTCGCCTCGAGTTTGCGTATGATCTCAGACATGAACTGGTCCTCACGGCAGGCTTCCACCAACGAGCGAGTGACATCGTCCGCGAGCTCGAACTCAGTACTCGGTGCACCTGAGAAGTCAGGTTTGCGCGACAGGGCATCAACAACTTTGTTGTACTCCCCTTTGAGATAGTCGCCTGTTCAATGACTTCGATCCAGCGCTTCAATGCATCGGAGAGCACTGGTTGGGTTCTCATCCACTTCAGGGTCTGATGATCAGTCCTGATGATGAAGAACCTCCCAAGGAGATAATGTCTCAAATGGGTCAGTGCCTTGTAGATCGCGTAGAGCTCTTTCTCATAAGTGGACTTAGCCAACTTCTGAGACGGCATCTTCTTGGACATGTAATCGACTGGCCTGAACTTTGGCCCCTCCTGCTGCGCGAGCACGGCGCCTATGCCATATTGGCTTAGCATCCGTGGTTACTATAAACGGCTTATCAGGATTAGGAAGTTTCAAGACCTCATGGTGTGTCAACGCATGCTTCAGATGTCTGAAAGCAGCCTCACACCTGTCTGTCCATTCCCATGGGGTGTCAAGGCGGGTCAGGTCAGTCAAAGGAGTGGCCACTGTGTTGTAGTTCTTCACAAAGTTACGGTAGTAGCCGGTCATACCTAAGAAAGACCTCATCTCAGTCACAGACTGAGGACGCGACCAGTCACAAATACTAGCCACCTTCGCGTCATCGGGCTTCAAACCCTTCGCGGAAATCTCATGACCCAAGTACAAGATGCGGGTACGACCAAACTCACACTTCTCCCCGTTTATCTTGAACTTTTGCTGATGAAGGAGACTGAGAACTTTGTCCAAATGAGCCATGTACTCCTCGACAGTCCTACTAAAGATAAGTATGTCATCAAGGTACACGATGACAAACTTGTCCAAGTAGTCATGAAAGATCCGATTCATAGCGTGCTGAAAGGTGCCAGGAGCATTGCAAAGGCCGAAAGGTATCACCACAAACTCGTACAGACCGTACCTTGTCTGAAATGCGTTTTTGTGTTGATCCTCGGGCTGGATTGCAGTCTGATGGTACCCGGACTTCAGATATATCTTACTGAAGTACTGACACCCTTGCACTCTATCTAGCAAGTCATCGATGCGCGGTAGGGGCTCTCTGTTCTTGACAGAGATGGCATTGAGGCCCCTATAGTCAATGCACATCCTCAGATTGCCTCCCTTTTTAGGTACGAATAGGACTGGAGAACCATAAGGAGAGACACTCGGACGGATCCACCCCTTCTCTACGAGTTCCTTGAGTTGCCGGCGAAGCTCATCGAGCTCGCCTGGAGACATCCGATAGATCCTACCCTTCGGAATGCTAGACCCTGGGATAATCTCTATCGCGTGGACGACCTCCCTCTCGACAACCCATGTCGGCTCTTCAAATAGATCAGGGTATTTAGCAACTACTCCCTCTATCTCCGGCGGCATTTTCACCGGCTCGCCTGCTGCAGAGACAAACTAGATACATACCCTCCTCTTGATTTTGCTTATAGTAGTTATAGAACGCGGCCGCACACATACATCCATAGGACTCGATCAGACTACTAGCTTTGAATTTACGTAATTTGGTGGTCCCTCCACCTGGCAAAGTGTGTTTGACCACTTTTCGGTCCCAGTCAAACTGGGGCTGTGCCACAGAGAGGTAGTACATACCTAACAAGATATCCATGGGGAGTAATCATCGCTCATTAGGAACGAAACATGATATCTCAGTTCCCCTCCCGAGTACGGGAAACAACACTCAACATTCTGAAGGTAGTCATTAATTACTATGCGTTGTTTGTTGGCACAGGTCGACTCCACAGGTCGACTCAGGCGCTGCACTTACCCCTATAAGCGCAGCCTCTCAACGCACACGCGACTAATGAAGTTCCTAGTCGAGCAAGTGTCATAATAGGCCCCGGCCTTGCAACCCCGCCGATGACTACCTCGCCGACGGACATCTCACCCTTAGGGGCTTTGGCCAATGCCGTCCAAGAAGCTAGTGGGTCTGATCTAGACCACTCCTCCTCTAGCTCCTCTAAGGATTCAAACACATTCATCGAATAGAGGTTCGATGGGTCAGGATGTGTTTGCGGGACGACGATGGTGTCAAAAGCTTGGGCCATCTCTCGAGATGGTGACGGTGTGTCCACCACCTCGACCCTAGCAGGAACAACTACCATTCCTACTGGCCGGACGCGTTTCCCGGAGCAGTGTCAGAACTGCTGGCCACATTACTACCAACGGGAGCGGAGGATCCCAACACCTGCCCCATTGTAGGCGGGATCTTCTCGGTCACCTTCCTGTTACGACACTTGAATTGGTTATGGCCATATTGGCCACAGCGAATGCAAGCTTGCCGGGTGTACCGATCTCTCCACACGTCCTCAATGAGACCCGCTTTCTCCTATGGAGGAGCATTGGGGTCAACTTGACTCCTAGACCGGGAACCTCCACGACGTCTACCGGTCGCCTTACCTTTTTGTGCTACGGCCGCGACTACTCCACCCCCTTGAGCTTCTACGCTGCCAACCTCTGAACGCACTCCCTCCTGGAAGTTGTCATCTAACTCGATGGTAGAACCATCGTTGTCGACGAACATAATGCGGCCCTTCGCCTTCTAGTTGGCAGGCAGTGACTTCTTCCTACCATTCGTCGTGGGTGTTTGACCATGTCCTATCTTCGCCTCAAGGTATAGGGCTTTCTTGCTAAATGAGGGAAAGTTGTGCATATTGATGTTGGCCTCACCTGCCAACTGATTCCTGAGAGGAATGGGAAAGCATCTCAGGTAGGAGGTGAGTAAGACCTGGGGGTCATAGCGCACCCCAGGGACACAGATCAGATGCTCTGCAACGTCAATGGCCTCCCTTACTAACTTAAACTGCCTTGTATGCAGCGTCAGGATCGCGTCAGTGGCCTTTTGGGCCTCCTGAGGTTCATGCCACCTATCTTCCACCATCTTGAGGAAGTCCTCCAATTTCTGGTGGGCTGCCCAAGAGCGGAAGTCATGACCGTATCCCTGCAACTGCACTAAACCACTCGACCATCGCGCTGCACTCCCCTCTAGATAGGAGGCAGCCACAAGCACTTCCTTGTGCGGTAAGGTAAGTTTGCACTTGACATAGACCGGCACTGCCCTCAACCACGTGTCGAGGTTTTCGCCCCTCTTATCCCCTGTAAAGGGTTTCGGAGCGGCGATGGCCGTCTTTGGAACCCACTGACTTTGTCCCTGTCCCTGCATCATTCCAGGTTGTGGACCCTATGGTGCAGGCTGCTGCACTGACTGCTGGGGCTGTGTACCCTGCGGTTGTGCAGGCTGCGAGACAGCAGGCTGCCCGCTTACGGCAACCTGAGATGGAGGTTGGGAAAACACTGTCTGTATAGGAACCTGCAAACTGGGACCTGATGAGAACCTGCCTGTCAAAGGCATACCTAGGGAAACGGGCTGAACCGATGCTGGAGATGTACATGGGGATACCCCAGTCACCGGTGGGACAAAAGGAGGAGGATGTACAACGGGTCAGGCAACAGGCCCGGACGGTGATGGTGCCGCCTACATTCGCCCGACTAACACAGCCTGACTCTGTTGGATGTCCTGTAAGATCTCCATCTGATGATCTTGCATCTCTACTACACTTCACACCGACCGTATGGTCCTCACATCATTCTCCATCTCTGCAGGGTCCATCTCCTCTAACTCACTGACGTCCGCTTGCCTCCGCTGCATCCTGGCTCTTCTTCTAATCATCCTTTCTTTTTCCGCCTTAATCTCTCCTAAAGCCTGTTGAAGTTGTGCCTCGCGATCAGCAGCTCGTTGTATGGCGACCTCCTCGGGACTCATCACTAACGGTTGGCTTGCCATTAAGCCAATTGATAGACTCTGGGTCTGCGCGACCGTTGACCCTACCGATCCTGAACTGCTAGCCTGGGAACTCTACTGCGCAGAAGTGGTCATGGCTGCTGAAGCTGCGGCTTCGCTTACGAACGCCCTGCTGGCCTCTGCTGCTCTAGCTCTCCTTTGCTGCTGCTGCCTCTCCCTAAGCTGGAGGAACAAATATCTGTCGCCCTTTGGTCCTAATGCCAAGTGGGCTATTGGGCGTCTTGCCGATTGCAAGATCCGGTCGTCCGGTTGTGGAATCTCCCTATCACGAATAAGCTACAACACTATACACAATCTGCACTAGGACACTCTAAATGCCTACCACAGCATAGTGCACAGACCAATTTAAAATAAATAAATAAATAATTGGTGGTTGTTTTAGAGACTATACATTCGGGTCCAACAGGTAAGTCCAGATTCCTACAAACGAAAACTATTTTACTTTCACTAGTCCGCCAACAGAAGCACAAGGAACAGAAAAACAGTTCTAACTAATGTTGTCTGTCAGATGTTAATGGCTGTCCATCTAACTCATCAAAATAAAAACGGAATCGTTTGTTGGGTCTGTTCGCAAAATGGAATCTTGCCCAAACTTATCACCTGGAATCTACCCCTCCCTCGATTCTTCTTGAATGTCTCTTGTTGTCAACGTCCCTGAGCGATGCAGATAGCGTGCGTGTCTGAAGGTGTGCACACGGCCCCCTGTGCCCCGAGTCCTGCTGAGCTGGGCAGCCCTGCACCCTGTTTATCCTCGCGTGCAGGGAGCCTTACACCGACCGATTGGCTGATCAGGAGGCGTTTATATGGACGGCCCCCGAAGTCCTCAGGAATTCTTTAACGTCGCAGACAAGACGATGATCACAACCAATGGAAGGTACCCCGCCGGTGCTTATTTATAGACGCCCAGTCTCGTCTGTCCCCTAGGGCTGGCCTACCCTTCAGAACCCCTCTACAGCGCAGCGAGCAGACAAAGGACAAAGCAGCAAAGCATGCGTGCTTTACTCCCGGTGGGTTGGCATGGTGACCGTGACCCAGTGCTTCGTCCAGGGCCCTTCAGATAGCTCCACCCTCTCCTTCCATATGCTCCACGTGAACGCTGACGACTCTCAAGGTTGAGCGCACACGACTCCTCACATGAGAGGACTCTCAAGACAGAACACACATCCTCATGGTAAGAAGTGTCGAAGAGGGTAGATAAGGTTAGGTGCAACGTACCTCAAAATAGCTGCCCCCAACCAGAGTTATTCTCACCAGATGACCCGATGTTGATTGTGATGACCAATCGCTGCTTCGACACAACCAGCATTGTACAACCGTTCCACCTCAGCATCAATCACACACCGGATAGTTCTCATCACACTGCAAACACCAGTAATCACCGCATAACCTTTCTGGCGATACCCCTCACCACCTGGGTCGCCTACTTATCTCCGCCCTCCTCACTACACACGTCCCACGGCACGTTCGCTCACCGCACACACCACGTGCATGTACCGCATTAGGCAGAACATAAACGCCAGATTAGCGCACCGAACCACAACTCTGATACCAAATTGCAAGGAAGATGAGCGATAGCGAACTTCAGAAATCAAACAGCATCATACACATGAGACCAAATAGTCGTGACCTCGAACCAAGAGTAAATTTGCATCACGAGTTTCACCAAATAAGAGCACACCAAAAGCTCATAATTGACAATGCTAGAATAGTCTCATCATCATCAACGAAGAACCAATGTTGATATCCTATCTGGCGCTCGGCGCCCAGACTACAGATGGTAGATCCTATCTAGCCTACTCTACAATGCCGCCAATGACGTTAACAGCTTCACCGAAGTACGAGCAGATCTCGGACAATGTCGTCGCCTCAAGCACCAGCTATGTCTCTCGTACCACTCACAACCTCGTTCCCCAACTCACAGATGCCACTTGCACCCAAGGACCACCATGCGCCCCATCCAGCATACAACAGTGCAGCTCGACTATGGCTGCCTGCTCCTTCCAGCTCGCCCGTGAGCGCATGGGCCCGACAGGCGATAGCGCAGCAGCGCTTGCGCACAAAGCAGCCAGTGCCCGAATGTCCAATGCGTGGGCAGGCCCTTTCCTAAATGGAAGTGGCCTGCCTGCCTTACGAGCAGCCTCGCTGCGCTGGGCCTCTGCCCARAAGCTTCCGGTAGGCCCAGGGAGGATGAGACTCAGTCCAATCGGATCAGGCCCAGGGCCTTTGACAGTTACCCGCGCCCAACTGCTCGTAGCCTATGTCGGGTTCATGCTATGTATCTCGCCCAGCGCCTGACTCATATGCATTCGATAAAGAAGGCCAGGGCCTGGGCGCCTTCAACCAACTGGCGCTGCGCAACTGCCTGAATTCCCTTAGTTGCGTGTTGACCCCAAAATTGGGCCTGTAGGTCTTAGTCGAGCCTGCCTTCGCTTAGGGCGACCGACTGTGCTGAAAATAGGACCCAGTAGGGCATATCGAGGCTTCAAGCCTCGCAAAAAAAAATAAAAATAAAAATAATAATAAAAATAAAACTATAATAATAAATAAAGTTTAATAAACAAAAAATAAAAAATAAAAATAAAAAATAAAAATAAAAAATAAGAATGAAAAAAGTAAAAAAAAACATAATAAACAAAACTAATTCGAATTGTTTTCCCAACCAGAAAAATACTACCGAACTACCCAGACACATTCTTAAGCAACTCGTATATTTACATACATTTACATAATAAAACAAAACAAAATATATGGAAAAGCATATCTCCTAATATAACAAGTTATGGGATACAAAATTGAATACATATAAGCAAAACAGCAATCCTTAAATTGATACACCAATACAACATACTGAGAGCTTATCTTGTTCACCTGGCCGCCACCCAACCCACCAAACTGAAACAATGCAACCAAACAAAGTTCTCGCCGCCAATTTTTAATACAACAGCCTTCAAATCACACACAAATACCGCCAAAAACATATGTTCACACTTGTCCCTATCCTACGATCTGAGAGCGCACACCATAGTCTGCAAATCACTGCAACATAGGACAAAATAAACTCGGAAATGGCGCATCCAAACATAATTATCGCCAACATTTCTTCAATACGACAACCATCAAATACCACCAAAAACATGTGCCTACACGTCCCTGTCCTACAATATGAGAACGCATGCCACAGCCTGCAAACCACTGTAACATAGGACAAACTAAACTAAATGACATGACAACGTAAGACCCCTCGTACCACCGTTGACTTCCTTCCTTTCTAAAAAATCATGGCTACAATGCATGAGCTAGACAAGATTACTCACAAAACCCCCCTCCTACTAAAACAAAGCTACATACAGAACCATTCCCTCAAAAAACATACGCTACCATACCCA